TAAGGGTTTGTTGTTGGTGGCAACTATCCCAACTGATGAAGGAACATTGCCCACGCTGGTTAAAACAAGGAGGAGCAGGAAGCATAAGAAGTGCCATTCCTGATCATCTAGTGGATACAGACTATCAGATTAGACCAGAATCCGCTTTCAGCGTAATCTACCGTGTGCCCCACCCCCAACCCCTCTAAAGCAATTTGCTTACACACACTAGGCACCGCTGAGGCGATAGGCATTAGCCTGTTCGCATCAGAACTATGTTTGGCTCTCCACTTACCCTGGCCCCAAATTGATCAACATCACCACCACCACTCCAATCACAATCAGTCTCACCCGAACACAGACACATAGGGCTTACCCCACCCCTCTCCTCATCCCAAATGACCCTTTGACCCAGCGTGAAAATGTGTCCCCACTAACAACAAACCCTTAAATGACCTGTACAGGCACGATTATGAATCATTCGAAAACAATTATTCGCCTTCGGACTTGTGTTCTGATGTTACAGTGAGATTATTCTGGAATTTTTATTCCCTCATGCCATATCTTCGTTTGACCACCCTAGACCTTTTTCAACCGTTACCTGCCTCAGCAAACATCGTTTGTTGTGGCATCCCATTTGGTCACATGCTCCGACCAGCGCAATTTATGGAAATCGACTGCATGTTCGGCTGATATAAACAATACAAAACATGTTGGGAAACATTCAGGCACTCCAATATAGGTGAAACCTGAGATCAAATAAAATAGTTATCGATTCTTACGTGATGATGCCAAGTGTGCTCCGATAAAGAGGCTGCTACACCTTCCGGAACTACTGAGCGTGCCGGAGGTGAAAGTGTTCGTGTAGTGGTTTCACTGTCAGACGGTCTAGCAGCATCCTCTCTTGATGCGCTTTCCACCTCATCCCGATGTCCGGGGTTGTGACGTGTAGAATGTAGTTTTTCCTGTATGAGGCTTTCGGAGTTGATCATATTCTCCCACTGTTCTAGATAGGGTTCGGCCGAGCGCCACAGCTGACGATGTCGAGCGAGCATTTCCGCTAAAGTGGACAACGGTCGATCTGAGAAACTATGAAGTTCAGAGTTCTCACCGAAATCTCCGTGTTGACTGTCTGCATCACGTGTGCTGTCAGTGTTTGGTGCAGTTTGTGGAGTTTCCCCATCAACCTGCATTGGAGACGGACTCGATGCTACGGAAAAAAGGAAAATTAGTGACACCTAATGCATTGCACCTCAAGCTAGCGTATATAAAGGAATACCAAGCGATGAATATCATATGTTGCTCTAATACTACAGATTTGAGAGAATACACTTGAAGTGTAAGGGAAAAGGCTTTCAGGTTTGAATTACTAGAGATCACGCATTGATTAAAAGATGAACCACTGATTCAATATGGCATACACACACACATCTCATCCGGGTTACCGGTAGGGATGTAAAGCGTGAGCAAAGCGATGTAAAGCTGACCTTCGAAGGAGAAACAAACGAAAACATTTCGGTCTCCCTGCCATAGATTGCCCTGCATGTTTTATTTGGATCTAAAATTGTCTTTCTTTTTTTGTTGTCGCATTCGCAGCAATCTTAAAAGCCATCTTCAGAGTGCTTATCTATTTTCCGAGAGGTTGTCGCTGTTGTCTCAGTAAAAAGTCAGGATGGCGTCTCATCATCATCATTATCATCGTGCAGGGAAACACAATGAAGCGGACTTCATTGATCGCTGTGAAACTCGCAAACAAGGTTAGTGGTAACATTGAGGATATACAGGGATTGGATCTATTTTGGAAGAGGTAGGAGGTGAGTCTCGATGGTCTCGATGGTACGCAACTGAACTCTGCAGACATACTGTCTCAAGCATTCTGGCCTCATGAGGAATAACAACGCCACTGCTGTCGGTTCGTTGCAATATCCTTCAATGTTTCCACTCAAAGAGTCTTTCGGACCCCAACCTGAAAGGCGAGAGACACCTCTACCTAATGTCTCCGTGCATTTCCTCGTGCCGAGTCTCCATGTCGTCTGTCGGCCTCCACGTGGTTTCCTTTAGCCCGGAGCAGCTACGGTGAACAAAGCGCCGCAGACGACAGCTGATATGCAATACGTGCCCAAGTCAGAGAAGCCCATTAATCTCAATTCGATGAGCTAGCAAGATTATCCCTGATAGACTCACGACGGCTTACTTGCACATTATTAAACCGTTCGCTCCATCTCACGGGGGTTAAACTACGTAAACGCCAATAATAGGAAACCTCTAGTCGATCGATATCTTATAGCAAATTCAAGGTCTCACAACCATAAAGCAAAACTGAACGAACGGAGGCACAACATACACGACCCTTCAACTTCATTGGAACGTAGCGTCTGTCCTGCACATGCTGCCCAAGCCTTGGAAATGCGGACTGTTTTATCCCTTGCTGCGCTACCACACACAACTACCTAAGTAGGAAAAGCAATCCACCATAACTAATTCCTAATCATTTAGTTTCCAAGCGGGAGTAGACGAAACCCAATTCTGCAGAATCATTTTGCACGTCGAAGGTGCAAAACACATACCGAATGTGGAAACAGCACTAGTTCCGTTTGTTCGTAATCTTCAATTCTGACAGTTACGTCTGTCTATCTATCTGTTACGTCTTGCCCTATACTCTGTATTCCGACCCCTCCTCGCCCCTCGCGTCATTGTTATTGTTAATATTGTTGTGGCGTTGGCACCATGCTTGTTCTCAAGCCGGTGTTATATATATATATATATACGGTACTTGTTAGTCTATCAAGTGCGCTTTGCGCGTCCTCCAAACACTTCAAAACAGACCATGTCATCGGCATACCGCACAGCTTTCTCGAGCTGCCCATTCATTCCTACGTTTTAGAGTCCACTTGTTGCGTACGCCAGTATTTCGTCTACGACGAAATTGAACATGAACGGCGAAATAGGGTACCCTTGACGAACGGTCTACTTAGTACGTTGTAAACCCTCACTAGACCAGAAGTACGTGAGTAAAGTAATCTCAGTAAGTCAACGTATTTCTGGGCATTCCTTTTCAAAAAAGAGAGCCCATCAGAGTTACGCGGTCAACAGAAGACAAAGAATTAAACAGGCTGGGATATCTGAGCAGTAGCCCACTCATCACTATCCACTCCGCTCAATGCAATGGGTAGCGCGGTCCTGATTATCCTGCGCGATGACCGATGCAGTGTGAAATTATTTTTATTTTGTGTATGCATTGGGGTTTGATGGACGAGTATTGCTAGGGTATCCGGCCACTAGGCAGGATAACGATGAGGGTTCTCAGCCAAAGCGTTTTGTTCGGACAAGAACCTAGCCGCAAGGCAGCGGGTGAAGCGAAATAAAGGCTCATTTACTTAGATCGATTTCTCCACTATTTTTTACCGACTGGAAAGCAAATTCCAGGCGAACCCCCAACCTGTAGGACCAAGAGACGACTTTGTCTGACCCCTATCTTCCAGGCATGATAAGATCTCCTGACTTGACAAAAGCCATCCTGTAGCTCGTTAGGTCAGAGAGGTGCAGTCTTACCCGAAGCAGTGCGTAACAGTCGAAAAAGCTTCCCAAAGTTTCCAACAGCTGCTGCTATTTCCATCCTGGCTACGAATTCGAAGCAATTTCGCTTACGGCTATTATTTACCGATCGTGTAACTTCGCGTCGGTTGTGGAAACTGATTGAGATGTTAGAGAATCACGTCGGCACATCAGTTTGAAGTATCTAATCAGGTCAAATGCTTATTGTCCCGAGGTGTGTGCTTAGTTGCTGAGTTGCTACTTCTGTGGTATCGCAATCAATTGCGCACCACACTACTGTTCATAGGGATTGCGGTCTGATTGTTTGTGATTGCCAGCTTAGAAACATTGACTCCGCTTCTGTCGACTTCTGTCGCGTCAAAAGATGAATCTTCAGTCGGGGAAGTACCAGTATGCGGTCAGCATCAATAGCCGTTTCTGTTAGGGCATCGCGATACGCTCGGAAGTTCTCAACCGATGAAGCCCAGCGAGAACGTATCAATATGCAAACAATGTGGTATGCTCTTCTGCAGTTATCGGAATACCAAGTTGGCAAGCGCTTTTCGAAGCGGGTACGATTATCTGGTTAGAATCTGCAAACAACCTGACGATCACCTATGTCCTATTTTTTTCCGAATTTCCGTGGGCCGCTTATTCTCGTTTGAGGCCCATTTGGGAATTCCGAAACAATGCAACCGGTAGAACATCTCAGAGGTTCGATTGACTGAATCCTGAGATTTTGTCATCATCATCATCATCATTGTATAGCATAATACGGTGAAAGGAACGTCACTGATCACTGCCAAACTCATAATGCATACAAAATAGGTGAGAATGTGTAAGGAGGACGGGGGTCGGATCTATTTTTAGGGACGGGAAAAGAAAGTGAACCTCTATGATCAACACAGAGTACACAGTCCAACTATGCATACATATTAGTTCAAGCATTTTGGACTGATAAGAAGTGACAGCATGATCGTCATCTTTGATGTTCTTATCAGCCCATGGGGTGTATATATAGCTGATGAAGGGTTATATAAAAACGTTTCATTGAATGGTTTTCAAAAAAAGACTGAATTCGTACCCGAATTGTCTGGGGATTCCGTTTTTTGATCAGCTGATCTGCGCGGTGCTCTATTTTCCAAATGACTGGTTTCGTCGTTCGTGTGAACAGCTGAGGTCCCTTGAGAGACTCCCGTTGAATATGTTGGCGAAGGTGGAGCTGACTCGTCGGCCGATGGTGACCTAAGATCCCATGGTTCATCGCCCGGTGCGGAACGCGAATGGCTGGCGATACGTCCAAGTAATTCAGTTGCCCTTCCATGCAACCAATTGAATGTATTCAGGTGTCCAGTTAAAACTGACTGAGCTCGTGACTGGGGTACAATGCTGTAAAAACAAACGGAAGTTTATCTTTAAAAAAGTAGTCATATGAACACTGAAACACACGTAATTAAAAAAAGGAAGACGGAAGTAGAAAAAACCCAATTAGTTTGAACCCGGGGGGGGGGCAGAAAACCAAGCACAAAAGCTAATATTAGGGATAATAAACCCGGAAGCTTGTCGAAGTCTATAACCAGAAGCCTTGAGATCATTCTACACAGCATGCGATTAAAAGCGGACACGACAGGATACTGTTGTGAAAGCAAACTAATGGTTGGTAAATGAGCAAATATGAGCCAGAAAATGATTTTGAAATAAACCTAGCTTTGGCTGCCATGCGTCAACTAGATGTGTGCCATCACTCAAGTGTTTGAACAGTTCTTTTTACTACATCAGGACCAAATGATGTTGTAAAATCAGCCTTGAGAAAGGTTACACGCGGTAACCAAAACGTCGGCGAATATAATTCTAACGAAATCGCTGTTATCCACATTGTAACATTCAAAGCCCTTTATACTGCTTTGAATGAAAACATTATGCTTTCCCATCCAATAATTTCAGCTTTAAACTTAATACTATTTGGCGTTGCTTCATTAAAGACCGAATTGTGTGGATTACAGATAAACGGATGGAAAAATCCAAGTTGCAAAAAGTATTAATTCAATTAAGAAGCATAGAGCAATTCACATAGCGCGATTGTATGAATGAATTATGATCCAGAAAAGGAACGAAGACACTGAGGAATTAGTGACTCATCATCATCATTGTACAGCGTAAGACTGAAGCGAACTTCACTGATCGCTGCCAAAACCATAATGCATACAAGGTAAGCGAGGACCTGTAAGTTGGGATAGTGATTGAGCCTATTTTAGGGACGGGAAAGGAACCTCTATGATAAACAGAGTACACTGTCCAGCTGTGCACACATACTGTTTTAAAGACACTTCGTTGAAACTACTCACATGGAAATTTGGGTGAACTGATAAAATTTTATGCACCTAATCGTGCCGACTACATTTAATTCCAAGGGGTTTGATATATATGTATATATA